AATGAAAAATTAAGATTTTGGTCTCAGATTAGAGGGATTTTTTAAAGGAATCTTTAAGTGAAAAAACTGCCCCAATCCCAGTAATTGGGCCCTGCATTCAGAGTGTGACCTGGCTGTTCTCAGAAGTCCTCACTGTGTAAATTTTGCTTTGGAGCTGTAACCACTCAATCACACAATTCTCTATTTTGCAGATTAAAATGGTTCTGCTGAGATGCCCATCTTCCTTTCTGAGAAGTCATTTTGCTTCCTTTCAAAAGAAGAACACTGGGCCTTTGCAGTGGTGACTGTTACAGGATTTTTCCGATTAGGAAAGACAAACTGAGTCAGTCTGGGTTCTAGGTAAGTCTGATCTCTGCTTAAAGTAACTTCGTATTTAAACCTTCATTTACATTAAAAGTACATTTTAACCACAGTTTCTATGACCTATATGTTTAAAGAGTGACAGATGTTCTTAAATGCAATTGCTATTTTGCAGGGAACAATTTCTACATGTGTCTTTATTCCGACAATAATAGAATAAAAAAAAATATTTTTCAGTATTAAGATAGGTTAACTATGTATTCAATTCTGTGTTTTGAAGACTGGTGTGGTACCTGCATAAACTGTGGTTCTATGTATAATCATTGCTGGGGGGGTGTGGAAAGTAAGCTCCAGCTAATTATATTAGTATCGCTGAGTAAAATAGTTACTAAATTGAAATATTTTCAAGAAGAATGAGGCATCTTAGTACTCAGGCTTTGAATTAATATTTGATGCTCTTTGAAGTCAATAATGAAAATTTCCTGTTGGGCTAAGTATGTCACTGGTTTTTTTTGTTTTGCTTGAGGGAGGGGAGGTAGGTTCAAAGTAAGTAGAATAAGGAGGAAAACATATGTCAAGCACCTGAGAAACTTCTCTTATTTGCATGAGTCACTAGAAAGAGGCCGACTTGCACCTGGGGAATTAGTAACTTATTTACAGCACCCCACTTCTGCGCTTGCAAAAAAGGGACAGATTCTTGTATAAAGAGTGAATGTGGATCGTGGGACAGCAGATAGGAAAAACAGTCTGCGGGACGTACGGAGAGTGCTAGGAATATGCTGCCTAATTGCAATCCATCCAAAATTTTCATATACTGGCCTGCCGCCCGCAGCTCTAGTGCAGAATCTGAGGTTTCGGAAAGTCGTGTAGCACCAATGAAGGGCACTTGTTCACTGAGAAAAACTGGCACTGAACGTGCTGGCAGGTCTTTATAAATTGCAGTGGTGGGTGGCAGATCAATCCATAGGAAAAGTAGGACCTTTTATTTTTAGGAAGGTGGAAAAGCAACATGCTAAGAGACAAATCATGAAGCAAACAGAAGTGGGCTGGAAGAATTTAGGAGATAAACAAGCTATGCAGGACAAGTGGATAAAATAAAATGGCACATGGATAAAATTAGAAAATGAGAAAAAATTCTGACTCAGGTGTGAATCCTGAAGTCTGTGATTCAAACTGGTGCTTATCTATCCAGAACAACCAAGAAAGATGAAAAGGACTAAATCAGTTTGCTAAAGGAAGGAAAAACCAAACTTCTGTCATGGGAAACTGTTCAAATCTCAGTAAGTTTGGGTTTCTGTAGCATTCTCACAGGCAGAGTGTGATCGGGACATACGGTTGTCAAATCCACATCTGGACCTTATCAGTGCACCTTTGTCAGAGACGTGGTTGGGAACAGCTGGGCACTGGGAGGTGATGGGAGAGAAGCTGGGTTACAGGGCACTGAGGCATCTTTCTGTAGGAAACACCATCCTGCAACGGGGTTTTTTGCCCACATGTAACAGCTGGGTCCCAGAGTGGTTATTATTCTGGCTCATCTTCTTACTATTTTGTAATGGGCGATGGCAAAAAACAAAGACACCAAAATAATGTACAGGTGAGTCAGAAAATAAAGATTTGAATGGGAATAAAATACCTTATGGAAACAAGAAGATGTGTCAATTTAACTAAAACATGGCACCAAATGGCCCTCTCTTTCATCCCCAAATAGTGGCTGTCCTACGTTTCTCTTTGATACAGTTTTGTCCTGGCACTTTGGCTTTTAAGGAGCACTCAGTTCCATGAGATGATTCCCACATGTCTGCTCGGAGTAGGAGCTGCTGTTCTCAGTCTTCTGTAAAGATTACTATAATCGCGGTGTCTTTGGACTGTAAAGGGATCATTAGCTCCCCACTGTTCTTAAATGTTTGCCGGTCTCCTTTTCACTTCAATTGATTTTCTGAACACAGGTTCCCCTGGAACTGAAGCGTTCATGTCTCTGAGGAGCTGGATATGTGGTTTTGCCTTCTGTCACCGGGCAAGAGCAAGAGCAAATGCTTGCTCAGTGAGAACTGCTGGAGGAGAGGTAACTATGTTTACTTGTTTTGTGTAAGCACTCATTTTTAATTGTCAAACCAATTTGAATGAGAATGGTGTCACTGTTTTCCCTGCTTTTCTCAGAGATGTAAAGTGTCCATTGCTCTACTGATTACTCATGCACCTGTAACTCTCTTTACTCCTTACCAGGCTTCTTGCTAGGTGTTTACATCAAAAGTGTATCAGAAAGCTTAAAGATACTCTAAGTTTTTCAGCATTTTTCTTTATTTTTCTTGTCCCTTTTTTTCCATTCCACCTGTCCAAATACAGCTCACTGATACCTACCCATCAATAGCTTCTGTCCTGCTACAGAAAACAAAATGATTCCATGAAAAAAAAAATTATGGGTTTATAGCTTTTCAAAGACAAGGATAAACACAGGAAACACACAAAAGCATAAAAGTCAGCAGCTTGGGGGTGGGTGGAGCAGGAAGTTTCAGTCTGAGATCTTACTGATCTTCAGAAAAAGTCATTTGGGAAGAAGGGTACCTTAACAGAAATATCAGAACCCGCAAAATTAAGAAGTGTGTGTTTTCAAGTGTATCCATTTATATGAGATTTGACCCAAAAGTCCTGTGGTACATCTGCTCTCTTCTTCACCCTCACACTATCTGATCTTCTACCTATGGAAACTGCTGGACCTCATTTGCCAAAGAAAGAGGAAACTTTGACCTTTTAACAATTAACATCAGTTTGTGAAGAGACTAATTTTTTTTTATTTTTTGTTTGATCACACAGCATTCAACCTCAATGGGAGACATCGCCAGCCAATCTTCTTATTTCCCTGGACTCATGTTCCCCTTGCTTGTAAAGTCTGGAAGATGTCTTCAGAACACATCATCTCACCAAATACGGTAGGGGAGACAATTATTTGGATAACCATTGCCAGCTCAACATGGGTAAGACAGCCAAAAATGGCATCAGAGAAGACAAGCTGACATTGGTAAATTGGGCTGGAGCAGGTTTTGCATTCAAAGTACAGTCAATAAACATAGAGAAAGGTTAAAGGTTAGGAAATGAAACCTTATATAATAATACATTTTTTTCCCTGAAATGTTTTGTATATTTATTCTGGGGTATTTGCTACATCTAAAACATCCTGAAAGGGGAAAATACCCTTGAAATCAGTATTTTAATCTTCTAATTTTTTTCTAATATTTTTAATTTATTTAACTATATTTTTAACAGCATTATTGATTTTAACTTTTAAGCCTAAATGCTTACTTTTGTCAGACAAATAAACTAAACCCAAACCTAAATTAACCTATTATGTATGAGAGGATTTTCTCCTGTTAATTGAAAATAAACCCGAACTAAGCTAAATTACTTGAATGTTTAATCTTTCTTTGGTATACTAAGGCTACTGGAGGGTGCAAGCATCGACACATTTCTAAATAGAAATAACAAGCTATTTAGTGTTTCAGTTTTGGTAAATGCTGAGAAGGGCAGTGACCTGTAATACCAGTAAAAGTCTGAGCATTGCAAACTCCCAGGCATTCTTGCTAAAATACAACTTCTCAAAGCTTAGATTTGTTTGTAGCTGAGGGAATTGTTAAAGAAACCTTGTAAGAAAGCTGATTGCCTCTATCATCAATGTAGAGAGAATTTAATCTTCAGAAAATTGAACTAGTTTGCAAACAGACAAATAAAGAGGCTATTTTAAGGATCAAGCAGCAGGATAGACTGGATCTCTCTGTCTTGAGGGAAAATTACAGTGGTTACAGCTCCCCGTGGCACAAAACCCTGGTTAATCCTCCAGGCATGTGCTCCCTATACCATCAAGCATATCTTACTTGCAGCACTCTGAGCCTGGGCTTGAGATAATGTATGTGGGAGCAATTCACGTAGGAGAGCAGAAGGAGAAAATTGCCCTGCATCCCTAGGGAAGCTCTCAGCACAGAGAAGGCGGAAGGGAAGGTCTTTCGGGGGAGAACAGGTGTGTCTGGCAGATAGACAGTGGTTAAGTCCTGCTCTTGGGAGCAGAGACTTTGGGACCAGGGTCCGGCAGAAGCTGGTTTGCTGGCTGGGGGTGAGGGGAGCTGTGGGGGAGCACAGTTCTCTCCTGCATCTCAGTAAGGAGAGACATCCATATCCAATGAGCCATGCATTAAAAAAACAGTCAATACTGCTCTTACACAGAGAAGAGGCAGAGGCTAAACTTTTAAATAGTCTTTTAAAAAACCCCACAATGCATGTCCTAGACTTCTCATTATTTTCACTTGCAGGCGGTTCCATCTGTCTCACACTTCACAGCCCCTTGTTAACTTTCCCTGTTCCATCCATCCAACAGGTGCTGTTTCACTTCACTGCCACAACTAAAATTACCCAGATATATGTGGTACAAAGGTGCTTTTTGCTCAGTCCCTCAAAGCACGGGCATCAAGAGCCTGATCCCCAGCACATCGACATCAATGGGAGTCTTTCCACTCATCTCAATGGAGTCTGTGCCAGACCGAGGAGGGATACAGGTGAGAGAAGGCAATTTGGCCATTGCATTTTACTTTCATCAAGCACGTTACACAGCTGAACTGTTTTTAATGTAACTTCTGCTCCCGAGTTGGAGATTTTTGTCTGTGTAAAGTGAATTTCCTTTAATAATTACAGAGGGTTGCATGCAATTCCAGGACGGGTCTGAGAAGCGCAGTGAAGAACTTGAATCGTGTTGGACATATCTAAGGTAAGGAATATATTTTTATTTTTTTGCTTTCATTTGGCAGCCAAACTGGAGGGAGAGAAGCAAAACCAGTTTGGAGCAGAGCAAGTGGAAAATCAAGGCAAATGGAATGTTAGCATGGTGGTTCAGCTTCAATCCCTGTGCCCTGGCACACAGCAATGTGGCAGGAGTGGTGGCAGGAGAGCAAAGGCTGAGGGATGACGTTCAGGTGGCAACTAAAGCATCAGTGTCACTATGGAGAGAAAGGCATCAGCAGCACAAGGAGATGAGCCCATTTTGATGGTCCCGGTGGGATAGAGGAGAAGAGCCAGTTTTCAGCCCCAGATCTAGGATGGGATTTGTAGAAATGATGGCACTCACCACAACTGCCTCATCCCCAGCCTTCTGCTGGGGGTCAAGAAAAAAGGGACCATCACAGCAGAAAGAGAAATTTGCAGGACTTTAGGTAAGGGCATAGGTATGATTTTTGCCAGTGGCTGTAGAGTTTTCACTTAGCAAAGGGGTAATATTTTTTAAAATATATTAATTTCTTACTAAATATTGAACTACCTTTCAGAATAATGGATTGCTACTTTCTCCTTTTGGACAGGTGCAAAAAAATGGTACCTGGGGCATGTCTCTTGAGCTACCAGCTTTCTTAGGAGGAAATATACTGAGTGACAGGTAAGACAAAAAATAATGATTTGCCTCTTATTCTTCCTTTAACCTGATGTGAGCATGGCAAAGGCTGGAAACTCAGGTGAAACACTCACATTAAGTCAACTTTCAGCCTTCTCCCAGTAGCACCTCAAATGTCTTAATATTTGGAGTGTCATTTAGAGGTCAACTTTATTTTGACAAGGCCATGTCCCTGGGACGCTGAGGATCACGGTCAGCCTCTAACAGCTCGATTTATTGTCAGCGAAGTGTGCGGGTGAGGGTTTGAGTGACGGCCAGAGAGCCATCTGCTCCTGAGTTTGAGCTTCAGCATGAGTAGAATGGAGAGAGGAGGCCATGCCCCCTCCTTGCACACCAGCCTGGCCAAAAGCGTGGGAGACCTTCTCTCCAGAGATAAAAATGGAGATTTTTCTTTTCTGTACACATTAATTTCACTTAGTACATCTTCTTTTCTAGAGTTGTAGATGCCCTTTCTCTGCAAATAAATTGTTGTCATTATTGGAGTAGACCAGGATGTGTAGGGCCTTGGACCTGGTAACAGTATTGGCCACTTCCATTCCTGAACTGTAAATGGTTATAATCATCTACAGTCACTTTGGGGATATCAAATCATAACTTTTTAATAAATGTAAGTGCATAATGGTATGGATAATTTGCCACCATGTGAAGCAGCTCTAAAACTGATGATATCAAGTGAGGCTTGGCTAAGGGAGGTTTGATGCTAAAAATGGAAATGGAAGTTAACTTTGGTTTATCTGTGGTTTGCAGATTTTTGTCAGGGCAGCAACATATGTCAGGGAAGGAGTGAACTTTCCTCGTGTTCTGTCCTGAAATTACAGACATGTAACCTCCAGGGACAAGCTCGGGGTGAGGACAGATGGTTCAGAAACAAACATTAGAAAGAGGCTTGTAATTGCTGATCTTCTAACGCTAGGAATGAGCAGATTTAATGGCTTGGTGCTGAAACCGGATCAGATACAGCTTGGCTTTTTAATATATGGCTGGTCAAAGTAACTGTGACCATGAGACTCGTTCCATTTGAAGTCATGGCATGAACTTCTACCATTGAAATTCTTTTTGAAATTGTAATTTATCTATGTGAACAGTTTATACTAATTATATAGAAATATCGTATTGTCAGTTCATAGAAATCAACCTATTTATCATGATATAAGACTATATTATACGTATGGTGTGTGAGAAGCATATTTTAGATATGGACCTATGTACTGTTCCTTCTTATTTGATCAAGTAAGTTTTTGAGTGCCTTAGAAAGTAACTGAAATCAGGAAAAATAATGATTTTTCCTCACTCTTACAGGTCTAGGTCTCCCTTTCTCTGAGTCAAAGTAGTGTAGTTGTCCATAGAATCAAAATCTCCATGAATCATTTTGAAAGCAATACAACAAGTACTTATATGAAATGCAGCAAGATAATCAATATGTCTTGGACGTGTGGTCAGGATACCAATCACAAGTTAACTGTGGGTTTTTATTAAGTATGCATGACAACAAAAGAAGGTACATTTAACTCCTTCACATTATTGCCTTAGTAGAGTTAAGAGCTAATTTACACCACTGAGACTCCCAGTGATTCTGTCAAAGTTCAGAAAAATGTCTTTAAAAAAGCCTAGAGTTTAAAAAAAAAAAAAAGAAAAATAAGAAAATATAAAGTTAATTTAGACATAAATTATTAAACTGCATTTAACCTCTTTTTCATGGCTTAACCTTCAAAAATTACCTTGCTGTAGGTCTACTGTAATTTGTATGTTCTGCCATCAAAAAACACTTGGAAATCGACTGCTTAAATCTGTGGTACTTAACCCTGCTGCGATGCACATTGAACGGTAGAGGGCGCTACCCAGCCTAGAGACTGCAAAATAGGACACATTTTTGGGACTGGAGGAATATGCTTTTCTACTGTTTTGCCTCTGAATCCCTTGAAATTCTGAACGTGTCCACATGGCTTATCAAGTACACCAGAAGCTAACAAAAAGGTATGTATGTTACATTCTCTCTTACATTTTCCATCCCAATAGTGGCGTCTTCTGGGCTGAGTTTCTGTTGACAGAGCACCATTTACACCCAGTTAATAGAACTTGATGGAACTTCAAATTTTAAAACTGATCTTCTTTCCAAAGTCAGCACGGTGTTAAATCAGTATTTGTAAACTCTTTTTTCTAGTGTAATAACTAGAAAAAAGTCTACCATTTTAGCTGGTAGACTCGACTCATAATTACACCAGCTTCCATTGCTGAGAGGCTAAAGCTAACGAACCTTTCGTTTGGCATACAGGTTGTCACTAAACAAAGTAGCTGTTTAGCAAACCATCAGAATTTGTGGGTGATGGGAAGCAGATGTATCATTAAGCACTAAATGGGAATATCATTTACAGTAGATGTCATGTTTCATTTTGATAAACTGCAAAAAAAAAAAAATGTGTGAAAGATGTAGCCCTGTGTTTCCAATGCTGAAAGCAGTATTTTGAAAGGTAATGTTATTGATACTCTGCTAGGCTGGCAAATCTAAGATTTATTAGAAACTATGATATATGACTTGAACATTACCATGAAAGATAATGAAATGCTCTCTGATATATGAGACGGTATCCCATGTAAAAAATCTCAGAGAAAACAAGCTAGGAAGCAGCAGTCTTCCTTACCCTAATGGTTTAAAATGATGCAGTTCCTGTTTTAGAGTCTTTCAAGCATAAGACTTCTCCTTCCTGCACAATACCGGTATGTATCACTGACGTGGCACTTCTGTTATTTAAGCTTTTTGAGGTTATGAGCTAATTACTCATCACAACTATAACAAATACAATCTTCACTTTTAGACAAGGCACATGGAGTGCAGGGACTTGACTTGTCTGGCACCAGAAAGTTGGCATCAGCTGTTTGTGAGGTTTGGGTTGCTATAGACCGATCTTCCTTCATAAGCACTGACTGTCCTGCTAGCTGAAGAAGAATTGTTGCTGTCATTTTACTTAGCCTGTAATGATAAAATACATTTTAATGTAAAGAAGACAACACAATGAAACATGCTTGAAATTATTCTGTTGTTGGGAAAAAATTCCCCAATTTATCTATCATACTTCTGTTACTGTTACTTGAGTACCAATTTACCATTTTTAATGCATGCGTATCTTTCAACTTTTCCTTATTTTGAACATTCTTCCTCCTTTCTCATCTTCCTATTTAATCTCATTTTTAATGTCAGTCTGCATTGGATGTTCATCTTCTATATTGCAAGTTAGTTGGGAGAAATTACATGGAAACAACACTCTTCTTGGGGCTGTTCTAATTCCTGTTTCCACATTCGCTTTTGTTAATACTCTGTTTACTTCAGATTTCCCCAAAACACTTCTCAACAATTATGTTTTTCTTTATTTGTTCTGGAGTCCCTGTCTAGGTATTATAACTCATTATGCCTTTCTTTGGGTATTTACACTGTATCCCTTATTATCCATGTGAAATATGTAATATGTATGGAGCACATGCAAATCATATTACATTATCACCGTAATTAATAGTAAAGCTCCCCCTGCACTGCCTAGGGATCCACTGCTGGATAGGTACAGAAAGACACTATTGGCTCGGGAATGGTGAAGTATGATACGGTGATGGGTTATGGTTTGCTAGGGCAATTTTTGGTGTGGTGTTCATCCCGTTTACTTCTCCGTTTAAATAGGGCAGATACAGACAAGAACATTAATAAGGCACTTAGGAAGTTTTGGCCTGATTCTCATTACTAAATGTCTTTACTTAGACATAGGATTTACCATTGTAACTCCAGGGAAATAAACAAAAAGGATTTGTGTCAGAAGGACCAAGTACTGACACGACATTACCTTGTGGGACAGATGATACTCTCGATCTGCTGAGATACAGCACCGACAGGCATCATGTTCTGGCCTTTGCCTCTGACCTGCGATGGAGTCTGCTAAGAGGCTGTGGATCAGTGACTCCCATTGTGCTGGTGGACGGCTGCAAATTGCAGATCTCATTGGAGGGATGAGATGCCTGATGGCATTTTCTCAAACAAGCAGTGGTTGAATTTGACAGGCAGCTCACCAAGATGGACTCAGTTTGAGTACTGTGTGGGGAACGCAGGCACACCAGCAGACCATATATTCTCAGGCATATTACGTGAGCAAAGGGGACTCCAGGAGGAAAATAAGGATGTTGAAATATGGCACTTTTGCTTACCAGAGCTGTATTGTTCAGGGAAGACTGTTAGCAGCGGGAGGGGAAGTGGCAGCAGTACATCCAGCCAGGTGGTAGAACAGGTTTCCAGATGGGTCAGAAAACCTTTTCAGGCAGTGGGACAGCTTTGAAGAGAAAAGGCGCTGGTCAGTGTGAGACAAGTGTACCACCAACAAACTCCTTGGGTGGTGGGTGTTACCTGAAGCTGTTAGGATTCACCAACCTGCCTGTGGAGCTGAGAGATGAACTTGCTTCACTCATGCTCCTGCACAGTAGCTGAGCAGAAGTGCCAGGTGCTGGCACGGCTGCCAGCTCATTGTTCCCCTGAACTGCACCTGCAGGGCAGCCACAGCCTCTCTGTAGGAAAAAACCCTCCAGCAGCACCTCTGTAGGAAACCAGAAAAAACAGATTTTGTAAGTGCTTAATGGCCCTAGCTGATAAAAAGTGCTGCCAGGGCGACACAGACGGTAGTGGTGAGGACAAGGATGATGATAATAGATGGTTCTTACATGCAGAATGACAGATGTAGCTCACTTTTAATCATTGTGCCGCAAACTGCTGGGTCCAGTCCATGAGATGACCTCCTCCATGCTCCCAAGCCACTTCAAGGCTCACAGCACAATTAGTGATAAATGAACAGCCATCAAATTAACTTCAGGAAAGCAATAAGAAATCAATAGCGGTACAGTGCAACTGTTAGTTAAACCGTTAACTGCACGTGACTAATCGTGCTCAGAAGTCGGGGTGGTTTTTGTTCTGCTGACATTTATAAATTGCTAAGCCTTCACTTCCATAGTTTATGATGTCAGATGAATCCCCTGGGAAAGAATTTTCCTTCCAAATGCTGTTTAAATGTCTGTAATTCTGCAATTTACCAACAATTGTAGTGCTTTAAAGCATACAGTAAACTCCCTTATTTCTGTATCAAGCAACTTGACATTTAAGATAATTTGTTAACTGCAGCAAAAATATATATAAACAATGTAATGTTCTTGTAAACATGTAAAACATGCAATATAATTAGTAACCTCTGTCGCAAGCATGAACAGTGCCATTTTACAGAGATGCATCATGAAGGTGAGTGTACAAAAGCAAAAGAATTGCATTGGGTTGCACCTGCAGTGGGTCTGCTTAGCTGGGAAAGTAAAACAGCTACAGAGAGGTTGCTGCTGGAAATGCTTTTTAAGAGGGGGAAAAAAACCCACCTTTTTTCTAAGGCTTGTTCCTCTTCCACCTGTGGCTCTGCAGTGGGACTGAGCTGCCTGGATGCTGCAGAAGCTGGTGAACCTGTTGGGTAGATGTCCTCCACAGGGGGTGGCAGGAGCAGGCACCACAGTGCCGGGGTCGTACTGTACAGCCTTTTGGGACTTGGACCCCTGCTTCCTTGTGGGGTAAAGGTGCAAAATGGCCATTTGTGAGCATCAAAGTGACCAAATGTATAAGGATATAACCCTATGAATCTTATTGAAACTGTTTCTATAAGCAAGGTGACAGACACGCACTGCAGCATACAGGAATTCACATTTTGGTCGATAAAAAGAAAATATACAATCACTAAAAGCAACGTATTCAAAGAATGTGCTTAGAGATTCCTGGTGATACGATCCTTCCTTAGCAACAGTTCGGAGGATACAGCAGAATTTTTTAAAAATGCTGGATGCCTCTTGCTAGTCAATTGTAAACTGCACCAACACAACACATATTCATTAACTCACTGCAGTCATTAATACTCTGTAAGCTGTGGTTCCTAAGCAAGCTTCTGAGAGAAGAGATAGAGGATTTATTTCTAGAGGCACATTATTCTGAGTGCATCGTTCATCTGGCCACTGAAAAGATTCATTTTTCCTCTCCTATTCACTCTGCTTTCTCGCAGGACTGTCTTTTGTGAACCATCTCTCTGTGCAGGACCTAGGCCTCTTCTCGGCAATAACTAAGCTTCTGCAAGCCTTTCCCATTCACATGCCCTCTCCTATTATTATAGCAGCTACCCTTCCTGGATGCTATTGTCCTCTTTACTACTGTTTCTCTGGAATCAAAATCAAATGCTCTGTTTCTCCCAACATAATGCTAGAAACACGCTTTTCACAGAAAAGATCTGTATCTGTGGTTCCACTAGTTATCTGCTTCGGTGCTGCAGTCTTTATTCTGAGTTTATATTATGAATTCTGCTTCTATTCAGATTGTGCTTACAGTATATTTAGAGGTACATGAAACATTTGCAAGCACCTTATCTTTATTTAAAAATAAAATAAAATTTTATTTCCTTCTCAAACACAGTCTTTTAGGGGAATAAGGTTTTATGTACTCCTTGTGCATAGTAACAGTGTTGCTAGGGGGACAGTATTTCTGCAGAATCTCCTTTAGCTGAGGTTTCATCTTAACATTTGTCAACTCGTTCAGTGAGAATAAAGCAGAGCATTAAAAAAAAAAAGGCAAACTGAAAAAACAAATCCCACACCACTAACATCACCTTAAACTTTCTATGGATTCAAGGGTTATGGTAACAAGGACTTTTTTCTGCTCTCTGTTAGGCACCAGCTTTGTATCAAAGTAAATTAAATCAGACTACTATTTTCTCTTCAAAATATATGCAAATTATGTTTTTGTCTTTATGATCAAGCTTAATTACCAGTGGAAAATGTGCATTTAGCACATAGAGCCGTAATGAAAAAGGTGTTTATTTACGCAAAAAGGAAAAAAGTGGGAGGTGTTTGGGTTCATTCTGTTTCACTGAAAGCTGAGATTTTCTAGAAATCAGGGAGCTTTCCTCACGAGTGGCCAAGATACACTA